CCCACCCCCTCACTCCCATTTCAAAACCAAACCAAAACAAAGTCTTGTAAAGAATCTCCTGCCAGCTTAAAATCGTAACAGTCAAGGAAAACCAAACCAAACAACACCAGACCAAACAAAACAAAACTCATTCAACGGTGAAGAGATTTCCGCTTGTCATCTCAGCCAAGAATCTTCATAAACAGCTGCGACTGTTTGGTGCTAAATAACGCAAGATTCAAGTCAAATATCAACCAAATGTGCCGATACAGTTCAGGGAAGACGGCAAAAGAAGTCTAAAAGTGAAAAACAGCGAGTTTTTTGGTGTATAAAGCACATAAAGAGGAATTAGGAGCTTCACTATACACGCTTACCAGTCTGGTCCTATGTACATTCCACACCTTGATACCCAGATTGGGAAGGATTCTCGATGCTTGAATTATCCAGGCGTGTTTTTGTTTTGTTTTGTTTTAGATTGTTTTTACTAGGCTTTTCTTTCAGGGTTTTTTTCTGGGGTTTTTTTTTGGTTTTTTTTTCTGGTTTTTTTTTTCTTTTTTTTTTCTATTGGAACAATTCTAGGTCATAGCTTTGAGGTCTCACAATTGTCAATGGCATCCATCACCATGTTGTATTGTTTGGGTTATGTATGAAGATAGCAGTCAAACAATTCGAGTTTTGTTTTTCTTTTTACAAATAATACTTTTGTTTTAAGATTGTTTTATTTTTGGTTTTGTTTTAGTTGTAGCAGTTTTTAGGGGTGCTGGTATACTTATGTCCCATTTCCGTTCCCTATAAATTATTCTCGTATGTGTTTTGTGGCCATTTGAAGGGGGATATTTATAATTTTTCAAGAATTCAACAGTTGAGATAGTAGCAAAACATTATCGAGCAGCCCTTATCGCGTGCGCACTGTATTTTGCCGATATCATCAGCACACGAAGAAAGTAGTCCTACATAAGTTTAAAAAAATCAGACGAGGACCCATAGTGGTTCATATAAGCATACTTAAACACTTAAACACAAGGCCCATTACAGATTTAGATAAAAGAGCACAAAACATACATGTATACACACACGCAC